TAGCTTAGGACTCTGCCTCACTAAAATTAACCCTGTTGTAACCGTGCCCCTCCCCCTTAAGCAGAGTGTATAAAAGACTGCAGTGCTCTTTGTCTGGTGCTCAGAATTTGGAGGGAAAAATCCCCATCTGAGCCCGCTGGTGTATAAACCTGTTTTTGCCAATATTTCTATGTGTGTGTCCGTCTATTCCCGGTCATCTCTGCCGTAATATAACCACACCTCTTCCCTTGATCACAGGCTCTGGAGCAGGTGCTGCATATTTATCTTTCTCCATCTATAGGTGATATACTTGGAGGCCTGAACTCCTGTTGAAGTTCATGTTGCTCCACTTAATTAAGTCTTTTATACATTCAGTTTACCTCATTCATCAGATAGAAGATATCAGATAGGCCTTCACCAAGGCCATCGTTCCTCCAGGTCCTGAGGCTACCATGCTCTTCTGTGCTCAGGCCCCAGCATATTCTGATTCCATCAGTCCTACTGCACCCTCCCTCCAACAGTTAGTGCCACTCCCAGAGAAATTTACTAACCACGAAGAATGTTCCCTCCGTCTCTTCTTCCAGACCTACCTTCTATCATTTCTACTGTTTTTGTGTTCACAACAGAACACAGTAAAGTCAGGTCTGAACTCTCAGCGGAGCAGATTACCTTCTTAGTTTTATACCTGATGGTAATGAAAAGTGTCATCCATCCCTAAATATTGAGAAAAACACCCTGGCCCTCTAGAACAGTAAGTATCCTGCTCTAGGGTTCCAGCCGGAATGACATAGGTAACAGTACTAGGTGACACCTCTGCCTCAGGGCAACTTAATTACATATTTTGCTCTTAAGGAACAGATCCTTACCCCCTTCTGAGATAATTACCCAGCACAAAGATCTACACTGCAAGGGTGACCCAGAGTTTCTCTGACACTGTTGTGGAACCACATTTAAACTTCCCCAAATCCTATTGAGCCGGTATTTCTTGCAACATGGTCACCTGTCCTCAGGCTCTTTTTGAACTCTTCCATGCCAATTTATGGGGGAGAGCAATGTATATGTGCAGATAGCCTATATCTGTCACCTACAGAGGAGGTATATCTTGTCCCTCACCCAAATATATGCCCACTTCTCAACTACAGTACCTTGTCAGAAGTTGAATTAGAATGCATTAAGCTATTTTGTTCAGAAACCCAGAGTTTTTTGAAAACTGCTAGACAACCGTCATCTTTCCCTACGAGATTCGATGTACAGCAGACAAGAAAACCAAAGCTACACTTTGTGGCTCACTGACTTCCCCTCTTATACTACAGAGAATTCTGATAAGATGGTCTGGGATCTCCCCCTCCTTCCTAAGTTCATATCTGTATCTTAGGATCTTGCCATAATTGTAAAGTCAATAATGTGAAGGAAGGAGAGGATTGAGAGTGACCCTTTTACCATGTGTGAACAATGTCAATGATGCACCCAAATTTTCAGTGACACTAGCACTTAAAAATGTCCAATTTCCTTAACTATTAAGTTTGACCGTTAATATCTCTGACATTTCAATTTGACACTTCTTGTTTTATTTTTATTGTGAAAGTGCATCCTCATTCTTTCAAATGCATTGTTTGGCTTGTGATGATCTATCAAAATTTTTTTAGAGCAATTTTTGTGAAACCTTGGATAAGTCAAAACTTCGTGTTATTTTCGAATATGAATTTCCTCTTGGAACCAGTGCAGCACAGACAGCAAGAAATATCAATGAAGGGTATGGCTAATGAATGTGCAGCATGTCGATGATTTGAGAAGTTCCATTCTGGTGATTTTAATATTGAAAATGAGCCACGTGGGCAACCACAGACCAAAGTGGACAATGATGAGCTAAAAACTATAGTGGAAGTGAATTCATCTAAGCCTGAATTAGCAGCAAGGTTTGATGTTACTATTTCAATGATATTGGACCATTGAAACAAATCAGCACAGTAAAGAAGCTGTGGATACCTGGGTACCATATGAATTAAATGAGCATCAGAAGAGAAATCGCCTTGAAGCTTGCCTTTCTTTCCTGTTGCAACACAAAGGCAAGCCATTTCTACACAGTATTGTTACATGTGATGAAAAATGGATTCTTTTTGACAATCGCAAGTATTCAGCACAATGATTGGATAAAGATGAAGTGCTGAAACACAATCCAAAATTAAATATTCATCAAAAGAAAAAAACTAGCAGTGTCTGTTTGGTGGAACAGCACTGGTATTATGCACTAAAGTTTCATGAAACCTGGTCAATCAATCACAGCAGATGTCTACTGCAAACTCTTGGATGAAATGATGAAGATGCTTACAATTAAGCAGCTGAGATTGGTCAATAGAGAAAGGCTAACCCAGCTGGAAGACAACGCTCAACCACATGTTGCACGAACAACACTGCTCAAACTAGAGGCTGGACTTGGAAATTCTCTGGTATCCACTGTGCTCACCAGACCTTGTGCCAACTGACTACCACTTCTTCCAGGCTTTGGACCACTTCTTGCAAGGAAAAATATTCAATTCACAACAAGCTGTGGAAAACACCTTTGGTGATTTCATCGCCACTGCCTCTCCAGGCTTCTTCACTGCTGGCATAAACAAGGTACTGTTAAGATGGCAAAACTGTGTCGATAGTTTAGGCTCATACTTTGATTAATTGTATAGCTTCTTGTTTGAGATATAATGAACTAAACTTTTGATTCAAAATCTGACATTTCCTATTTAATGACCCAATGTTATCATCATCATCATCATCATCATCATTATTATTATTAAAGTATCTGCAAATCTAAAACCCATCAGATAGAGACTGGTGTCACTAATATCTCCTCTGACAAGTCAAACTTTAATGTCATTTGTGAATTCAACAAAAATATT